TTCATTAAGTTATTAACCTCAAGGTTAGCAGTTTGAAACCACCAGCCACTCCTTGGGAGAAAGATGGGGCTTTCTACTCTCACATAGAGTAACAGTCCTGGAAACTCACAGGGGGCAGTTCTACTCTGTCCTATAAGGTCACTATGAGTCAACATCAACTTGATAGTTTTGGGTTTGGGAACAATGCCTGGAGTCCCTGTGCAGTGCAAATGTTAATTGCCTACTAGTTGGAGAGAGAGAGAGAAGCTGATACCAAGGGCTCAAGTAGAAAGGAAATGTTTTGAAAATGGTGATATCAACAAATGTACAAATGTGCTTGGCACATAGATGGATGTATGGATTGTGATGAGTTGTACGAGCAACCAATAAAATGATTTTAAAAAAACATTTTGAGTCCACCCAGTGGCACCTCAAATAATGGGCCTGGTGATCTGATTCTCAAACTCAGTCATTAACAATCCTGTGGAGGACAGTACTACTCTGACACACTTAGGGTTTTTCTTGTGCCTGCCATGTAGGAATAGTGCAAGGAGTAAGATTGGGAGTGGGGCAGGGGCGGGGGTGGTGGTGGTGGTAGGGAGCATCTGACCTAAGTAACTTTGGAAAATAGAATTTGGGATGGGAATTATGAGGCTAGTGATAAAAACAACAACATATAAACACCACTAGTTGGTCAAGTTGATTCCCAGGTAAAAGCCCCCCCATCCCCTGGGGATATAGTTCTGAAAATTATGCACATGAATTCTGTGACTGAAGAAATACGTAAATGAATGGTGAAATTCATGCTCCTGAATTGCCTCCAATGTTGCCTGGCCCTCAAGTTTCCCTGTTGAGGCAAGGAAAATAGCCTGCAGCAGACACTGTGGAATGAGCTGTCTCAGTAGAAAATATTTAAGCATTGAAAAGTAAAAACACCAAAGTCTGTTTAAATAGTTGTTACAGTTAATCTCCATTGTGAGTGAGAAACCCCTCGTGTATGTATGGTCATACCCAGTCCTTTGAAAGGCGTTAGAAAGACTTTCACTTGAAGGACCATGTCCAGTCCTTCCTGTCCCTCACAGGCATAAGCCATACGAACGGCTGTGTAATCTTAGATCTCACCAGTAAGGCTTCGACCTTCTTCTTCCTTTCAACAAAGAGGCCTGCGTCATCTGTACGTTGTATGATCGTACCCGGTCTTCCTCTAATCATAGAGCCAGGTTCTTTTTCATATAGTCCTAATTCTTGGACGATTTACTTGGCAAACAGGTTGAATAACTATGGTGAAAGGAAACAACCATGATATGTGCATATTATAGTTTTAAACCATGTTGTACTGTTTGACTCACTGTTGCTTGAGCTATGCACTGGTTCCACAAGAACACAATTCTGAAATTCTACTTTGATTTGCATTATTATCCGTAATTTGTTGTGTTTCATACAGTGGAAAGCCTTTGGATAATCAATGAAAACACAGATAAACATCGTTTTGATATTCTCAGCTTTGATACAAGATTCATCTGGTATCAGCAATGCTCTTGGTCCATGTCCTCGTCTGAATTTGCCTTGAAGCTCTGGCAGTTTTCTGCTGTTGTGCTATTGCAACTGACCCCAAAATATAGTGGTGTAAAAACACCTTTGTTCACGCTCATGGTGTCTGCGTGTAGAAATTCAGGCAGAATTCATCAGGAGTGGATTATCATCGACCCATGATGTCTGAGCCTCAGCTGCAGGATTCACGGGCTGGAAGCTGGATTCATCTGAAGGCTTAACTCACATATCTGGTGGTTGGTTGAGACCTTAGCTGGAGGGGTTGATTGAAACAGTTACATATGGTCCCTTGATTTTATCTCACAAGATGGCTAGAGCCACAGGATAGGATAAGAAAAGAAAGAGAACAAGGCTGAGAATCCAGAGGAAGTCACGTATATTATGATCTAGTATTGGAAACCACAAAGAATCTTTTCCTCTGCATTCTATCGATTGAAGCAGATACAAAAGTACTCCCAGATATATGTCGACTGTAGAGGAAGAAGTGCATAATATTACACTGTAAAAGAACATGTGGGAGGGATATGCACTGGTATAATCACTTTTGGAAAATACAATATGCAACAAACAAATTGATTTCAGGTTGACTCTGATTGATGCTAAACCTTGTGTCTCAGAGTTAAACCATGCTTCATGGCACTTTTAAAAGGTGGGTTATTTTTGGTGTTTTTAAAATATATCTCCAGGACATTCTCCTGAGGAATCTCTAGGTGGACCTAGACCTCCCCTCTCAGCAGGCAAATGTATTAATTCTTTATGCCACTCAAAGTATCCTATAATCTGCCCCCATCTCACATAATTATTCCCCTCTTCGCAATTTACTAGAAGCAGTAAGGAGAAATCAGGCTGTACCTTAACAACATGCTTGAAAATCTCCTCCTTGAATATCCAAGTTCACTGCTTGCAGTTTTGTTTTTCATTCAACTGCAGAACCCAATTTAGTCGAATTATCTCTCACTTTATAGTAAGGATTTCTTTTCTCCCAGTGTCTAATACTATGTTCCTCATTTCCATCCGAGGTCTCACTAGAAGCACTTTAATGTTCATATCTCTAACAACATTGTTTATAATAATATATGCATTCTTTAAGACCATAGACGTTTTCTCTACCATACGCGTCTGACCCATCACCAGAATTACCTTAATGTCATTGTTTCTACCATTTTCTTTTTAACACACTCTAGCTGTTTTCTATCAAGCACTTCAAAATTCTTCTACCTGTTAACCATTGTCTAATTCCAAAGTAAATTCCACATTTTCAGGTACTTTTTACATCAGCAGCCACTTCCTAGTACCAAAATATGTATGTTTCCTGAGTCTATTTTAAAGTACCACACACTTGGTGGTTTAGAACAATAGAAATATAGTCTCTCTGGAAAGAAGTAGCTTAAAAAGATGATGCCAGAAAGGTTCGTGTTGATGGCAACATATGTATGTGTGCTTAATACAATTGAATGATGGATTGTTATAAGATCTGTAAGAGTCCCCCAATAAAATAATTAATTTTTGAAAAAGGAAGGCAATGCTCCATCCAACAATTCTAAGATAAAAACTTTCCTAATTGCTTTTAGCTTCTGGTGTTCTGGAAGTCCTTGACTTGTAACTCTATTGCTTCAATCTATAGCCCTGTCTTCATAAGGTCCTCTGTGTCCGTGTGTCTTCCTTTTTTTAAAAAATCACTTTATTTGGGGCTCTTACAGCACTTATAACATTCTAGACATCAATTGTATCAAACGTATTTGTACAGATGTTGCCATCATCATGTCCAAAGTATTTTCTACTTGAGCTCTTGGTGTAAGCTCCTCTTTTTTTCCCTTCCCACCCTTGGGAATCCTTGATCAGTTGTATGTTATTATTTTCTTTTACAGAAATCATTTTATTGAATAAGGACATTAGCTTTTGTATTTAAGTCCCACTCTAACTCCAGTGTGATATCATTTCAAACGCCTTAGTACAATACCATCTGCTAATTTGGAAATAAGGTCATATTTACAAGTGCCATGGGTTAAGACTTGGAAATAAAATTTTGATGGATACTAGTCAGCACACTACACCATTGTATCCAAAGTGGAAAGTAGATTCATTTTGATATGGTTTATAACTGTATGCATACATGTGAAGTTAAGTGAATCTGTTTGTGTCTATGAATGCCTCTCTATGAATATAGATGTTTTGTATGTAATTGTGCATGTGTGTGTATTTATGTGTATGTCTATGTGCTTAAGAGACTATTTATGTAAATTATATTTGTGTATACTTATGTGTACAGAGGTAACAAATTATTGCTCTAAAATCATAGAAAACTTTACTAAATAAAAACATCAAAATGTTAAGCTATTGTTTCTTAGTATAGATGCCATCTAATTCCATACACTTCTAAGAGTGGCATTTCCATCTAGGTCTTCTGCAAAGAATTTTTCACTCTCAATTTACATCATCTCAAAATTGCAGTTTGGCTTTCTCAAAATGTGTTATTTTTAAATATCATCTGGATTTTGAGGAAAAAAAGACTGAAGGGCAAGATCAAGGTGGTAGGGTGGATAGGGTAAGGTTACCCAACAAAATTCTCATAGGATCGAGAATTTACTACCATCCAAAATTATCAGGTGCTTTGTCATAATGGAAAAAATTCCTCAGTCTAACTTTCTTGGTCATTTTTTTCTCTCACCAATGCAGCTTTCAAATTTCTTAAGACTTCTTCATAAGTACCCGTGTCTTTCAAGAAAATCTACCAAGATTTCCCCTTTGGAACCCACAAAAACGTCCCTGTAACATTCAGTTGACTTCCTGCATTGAATTGGACAGGCCCACCAGATCCTCTCAGAAGCCTCTCTTTTGGTCAGACCGTGTTTAGGGCACCTTAAGTAGACTAAGGCAAGTCTATTACTGAGAGAAGTTGTCTGCAGTCATCCACCGATCAGAGAGACATGTTTAAAATAAACCTGTTATGTATAAACTGGATCCCTAAGCAGCAGTGCTTTTTTAACTTACCTTTACATGCGAGTTTATGTGCACTTTCGTGTATCTGAGTGTGTCTGAGTGATCATTTATATATTTGTGTGCCTGTGGGCATTTATGTTTGGGTAAGAGTCTATATTTTTATGTGTCTATGTGTGAGTTTATGTGCTTGTGTGTACACACGTGTATAAATGTTTATGAGTATGTGTCTGTTTGATTTGTGTTCGTGTGTATCCTCATCATATACCAGGTAGAAAAGGCCCAAGGCAAAGATGAGATCATGGTATGAGCCTCTTTGAGCATCCTAATTGGGACTCTGCCTGCCGTGAGTCACAGAACTGGTCAGTGTCACTGATGAGGTCACAGAATGATGCCAGAATCTTAGTAACTATGGGGAGCCCAGCAGTCACTCAGGCTGGGGCCAACTGAAGGGCTTCAGCACAGCCCAAGAAAACTTTCATGAAACAGCTAGAGCAATACTGAGAAAGAACCCTGGGTGCTGGATTCGAATCATGAAACATCACTTCATGGACCACACAGGAGAGAAATCACCATCAGATGGAGCCACTCTCAGCTTGGTCAGTCCTGAGTCTACTGATGAGAGTGTGGGAGTGTGTTGGTCAGGTAGGTCAAAGGAAAGAATTGGTAGGTGTAGTAAGGTATAAGGATGGGAGCTACCAACTTGCACAGGATACTGCTACATATAATACTCATAATTAGGGAAGTTAACACGAGAAATGCTCACAATTCATTTATTCAGTCAGAACAGTTTCTTCTCTGCTATGTCCGCAGACTGACCTCTCTCTGGCCTTCAACTTTTTGTCTTGGCCTCTGCCATGCTCAGGCCATGTTGCAAGGCCTTTGCGATTGCTCAATAAGTGTCCTAATGATGTGCCACACTACTAGAGGTCTCAGCCAGGTGGCACTCAGCTCCAGCTTCCTGAGTCAGCAAACCAACTCCCTCAATTAAGTGCCCAGAGTCACCCTACTCCACATGCCAGTCTCCTGCTGAAAAGCACTCCGATTTACTTGCACAATGGACTGGGAAGTTTGCTGCTCTACCTCATGCACTGGCTTTGATATTTTTGTAGGCGGGTTGACAGTCCACATCCTGATTATTAGTGGATGTTTGCAGGTACACCTTAAGTGACCCTGCTGGTTTTTGAACTAGTGACATACCAGCAGGGTCACTCAAAGTAACCAAGTGTAAAGTAGAGGTTTCAGATTAAGAGAAAATACAAGGAAGGAATAGGCTTCCAGTTCTGAGGGATTAGGCTTATTGTCAGATATGTTGTCATAGCCTAAGCCCCACAGGATGGAAAACACTCAAAATAAAACTGATGGTGAACCGCTTCCTCCTCAAGCAGCAGAGTCAGCCATAATGATACGCATGGAGTAAATTGGTCAGGCTTTCATCTGCTGATGGGGAACAAGCCAAAATAATAACCAGTTGCAAACATCAGTTAATAATCAGAATGCTGAATGTATTAAATGCTAATCTAGAAATATTGGAAGTCATAAAAAATGAGACGAACACACGATATACCAGGTGTTAGTGAACTGGCACGGACAGTCAAATGATGCACTATTCCAAGAATGACAAACTCAAGAGGAATGGCATTGCATTCATCATCAAAAACCATTTGAAGTTCTCTCTTGAAGTGCAATGCTATCTATAATAGGATACTATCTATATGCCTACAAAGAAATTCAGTTAATACAACTGTTATTCAAATTTATACCTGAGCCTCCAAACCTAGTGATGAAATTTAAGAACTCTACCAACATCGTCAGCCTCAAATTGATCAAACATGTAACCAAGAGGCATTGATAATTATTGGCAATTGGAATTTGAAAGTTGGAAATAAAGAGGAAAGAACAGTGGTTGGAAAATATGGCCCTGGCGATATAATCGAAGCTGCAAATTATGTGATATAATTATGCCAGATAAAAGATTTCATTGTTGCAAATATTTTCTGCAACAGCATAAATGGCAACTGTATACATGGGCATTGCCAGACAGAATACACAGGAATCAAATGGACTATATCTGCAGGAAGAGCTCATGGAGAAGCTCAAGGTTAGCAGTCAAAATGAAGCCAGGGGCCAACTGTGGAACAGACCACCAATTGTTCACGTTAAAGTTGAAGAAAATTAAAGCAAGTCCATGAGAACCAATATACACACTTGAGTATATCCTATCTGAATTTAGAGAACATATCAAGAATAGATTTGACATATTGAACACTAATTACAGAAGATTTTATGAGCTCTGTGATGACACCAAGAACATCATACGTGAAGAAAGCCTAAGTTCATAAAAAGATAAAAAGGAAAGAAAAGATCAAAGTGGATGTCAGAAGATACATTAACATTTGCTGTTGAACGTAGAGTAGGCAAAGCAAATGGAAGACATGCTGAACTAAAAGAGCCGACTAGAACATTTCAAAGGGCAGTATGAGAAGACAACGTATCATAATGAAATGTGCAAAGACCTGGACCTAGAAAACCAAAAAGGAAAAACATGCTGAGCATATCTCAGCTAGGAAGAACTAAACCTCGTTACAGTATGGAAGGATCTTATAAGCAAAATATTGACTGATGCAAAACCCAAAGCCCCAAACCCACTGCCATTGAGTCAATTCTGACTTACAGCGACCCTACAGGTAGAACTATCCCTGTAAGTTTCTGAGGTTATAACTCTTTATGGGAGTAGAAACCTCATCTTTGTCCTGCAGAGAGGCAGACTGTTTCAAAGTGCTGAACTTGCAGTTTAGCAGTCCAGTGCATGCCCATTATACCACCAGGACTCTCTTTGAATGATGCAGACAGCATGAGAAGATCATGGCCATGATGAAGATATGGGGAAAAGGTATTGCTACAAGGGTTCTGGTCATACATGTTCGAGTTTCAAAAAGAAAAGAAATAAGAGACAATGGAAGAAACACAGGATGACTGTACCACAGAGAACTGGGTGACATTCAACTATTTCAAAGGGTAGCATAAGCAAAAGGGTCAGTGATACTGAAGAAAGAAGTTGAACTTGAACTGATGGCATAAGTGAAAAACAAGGAATTATAAAATATCAGGAATGTAGAAACAGGAATTTATAAAATATCAATTGAAATGTATTAACAAGCTGATGAAGCACTGGAAGCACTTATTTATCTCAAGAAATTTAGAACCCAGCTACCTGGCTAACTGACAGGAAGGGATTTATATTCACACCCACTCCATATTAATGAGACCCAACAGAGTGTGGAAATTACTGAACAATATAATTAATATCACATGCAAGCAAAATTATCTGCACAAGATAATTCAACCATGGTTGCAGCATTACAGTGACAAGGCAATCCCAGAAATTCAAGCTGAACTCAGCAGAGGATGTGACAAGAAGGATATCATTGCTGATGTCAGGTAAACCTTTGTGGAAAGCAGAGAATACTTGTATTTTATTGCATATGCAAAGGCATTAAACTATGTGAAAACAAAATATGGATAACATTGAGAGGCAAGGGAATTCTACAATACTTTATTGTGATCCCATGAAACCTGGACGTGGACCAAGAAGCAATTGTATGGACGAAACAAGGGATTACTGCAGGATTTAAAGTCAGGAAAAAGGATATCAGGGTTTGCGCCTTTCATCATACTTATTCAATCTGTGTACTGAGCAAATAATCTGTGATGCTAGACTATTTGAAGAAGAACATGATCGGAGGATGCTCATTAACAACCTGTGACATGCAGATAGTACCTTGCTTACTGCAAATGAGGAGGACTGGAAGCACTTGATGATAAAGATCAAAGACAATTTCAACTCAATGTAAAAAAAAACCCTCACAACTGGACCAATAGCATGATAATGAATGGGGAAAATGATTGAAGTTGTCAATGATTTCATCTTGCTTGGCTCCACAGTCAATGCTCATGGAAGCAGCAGTCAAGAAATCAACATTTTACATTGCAGCAATCTGCTGCACAAGATCTCTTTTAAGTGTTGACAAGCAAGGATGATACTCTGGGGACTAAAATATGCATTACCCAAGGCATAACATTTTCACTCGCCTAGTACGCATGTGAAAGTACAACGAATAAGGAAGACTACAGAAGAATTGAGACAATTGAATTAGGCTGTTGGTGAAGTAAGCAAGGTAGTATCTGCATGTCACAGGTTGTTAATGAGCATCCTCCGATCATGTTCTTCTTCAAATAGTACTGAGGGCTGCCAGAAAGGCCAATAAGTTTGTCTCAGAAGTACAGTCAGAATGCTCTTTAGAAGGGAGGATAGTGTGATTTCATCTCATGTACTTTGGACATGTTAACAGTAGAGACCAGTCCCTGGGAAAAGACATCATGCTTAGTAATGTAGCAGGGCAGTGAAAAATAGGAAGACCCTTCAGGAGATGGACTGACCTGCAAACAAAAGCTCAAACATAACAATGTTTGTGATGATGGACCAGGATTAGTAACAATGTACTAGAAAAAACAAACAAACAAATAGCATACTGATATTCTGATTTCTGTAATGATATGAAAATGTATTTAAATGTATTAAAGTTTAAAAAGTGCATGATTATTCCCTAGGAAGGGTACTGAGATTACTCTTAAAGGTAACACAGTGTCTCATGTCCAAGGGCCTGGTACCAACTCTAGAGCGTTCAGATATTTAACACTTGCTATGCTTCAGTCTTCTAATCTGTTATCTAGTAATATAACAATCCTATTTCTTAAGATGTCTTGAACACTGAATTAAAACATGGAGACGGTGGTGGGAGGGTAATGAGTCTCAAGCATATGGTGATCCCGGGTAGGGATATAAAGACAAGTCACATGTGGTGTAGCAGATATACCCCTCCCATACATTGCTTGTAGTTCATTGGCTTTGTGGAATTGCAATTTACATACATAAGCTTCACTAATATTAACTGTACAATCTGATGACTTTTGGCAGATGTATACCATCAAGTTGTCATCACATTTGAAAGTAATATGTTGTCATCCCCCTCGTAGGTTTCTTTTGCCCTTTCAGGCAATTCCCTCCCTAACTGCAGTTCTTGATAACACTATTTGCTATCTCTATAGTGTTGGCCATTTCTATAATGTCTTATAAAAGTGACATATACAGGTAGTTTCTGATTTCTGACAGGGTTCCTTTCAAGATGAATCTGTCTTAAGTCAGTTTTGCTATAAATTAAATGCTTTATTTTTTAAAGTTTTCATTATTATTGTCTTTTGTTACCAATATCTTGATTAGTCCTATCATACTTTTTGAGGATTGAAAACTTTAGATATCAATTTACAGTTATATTTTAACACTGTGTTACTTTAACATTGTATTGCAGTATGTATTACTAACAATAAAGCTTACCGCCAATTGAATCAATCGTAGCGACCCTATATCTAGTTTTCAAGACTGTAAATCATTAAAGAAGCGGATAGCCTCATCTTTCTCCTGAGGAACTGATGGTGGGTTTGAACTGCTGATGTTGTGGTTATTACTCAAAAAACAAACAAGCAAAACAGATGGGTTTAAGCTCACTGTAACTCAAACACTTTGTAAATTGAGGACCACCTATAATATGAAGCCCTGAAAGTCTGACTCCTTTCATATATTGCAGTGCTTTTGAGATTCTGCCATATTGTAGCATGCATCAGTTCATCCCTTTTTTATTCATTAATGATAATATACTGCAGAAATATACCACCATCTACTCATCTAGTCATCAAAGAGTATCATAGCACAATATGAGTTGGGCTGCCAACCATAAATTCAGCAGCTTGAAACCACCAGCTTTTCCCTGGGAGAAAGATGAGGTTTCAACTCTCAGAAAGAGTTAACAATCTGGAAATCCATACAAGCAGTTGTGTTCTGTTCTATAGGGTCTCTGTGCGTCAGAATTTATTCAAAGGCGGTGAGTTTGGGTTGGTTCTTTTTCATATATATATATACCAGTTAATGATTACTGGTAGAAAAGTAGCCAAGCACTTGGTTGTTATCTGAAAGGTCACAGTTGGAACTTCACAGATGCTCCATGGGAGAAAGCGATAACAGTCTACTTCTCCCAAGAGGTGCAGACTTAGAAATGCCACTGAACAGTTCCACTCTGTTCCATAGCTTCACGCTGAGTCAGAACTACTCAACACCAACCAGTTAGCAAGTTACTATTGTTGATCTGCCAGTTGATAGCCTTCGGGGGTGTGTTCAGATCTTTTGTTGATTTTTACCAGCTGCTATTGAGTCGGCTTCCAGTTAAAGCATTCCCAAAGGCTACCAATGGCTTGCTTTTTCAGAAGCACACCGCTAAGATCCTTTTCAGAGGTTGCTTTGGAGGAACCCAAACTTTCAACCTGTCCGTTGGCAGCCCAACACTGTACCTCTTTGTACCACCATGGTATTCCATTCGATATTTGCATTTATTGTTTGCTCCTTAGGAGACAGGTGCTATTGCTGTTGTCTGGTGCCTTGGAGTAGACCCTGACACCAAGCAATTCTTGCATAACAGAAGAAAACAACGCCCAGGCCTGAACTGAGTCCATGAATCTTATCAAGGGTCTTCTTCTCTTTGCCGACTTGCTACTTTACCAAGCAAACTGTCCTTTCCCAGGAACTGGTCTCTCCTGATAACATGTCCAAAATACATGAGATAAAATTTCACAATCCTGGTTTCTAAAGAGTATGTTGGCTGTATTTCTTCTGATAGACTATATTAAACATTATAAAACCTGCCTTCTAAAACAGATTTTACAAACAGGCCCAGGGTGTGTGGTGTCACCTGTCCCAGGGTCCCTAGCACCTACACCCTTTCTGGGGCCTTAGCTCCTAAAATAGAATGGAAAGGTAAATAACAGCATTTGTTCCCTGATGAAAATGTTCTTTCCTTCTCAGACACCATGAAGACGGAGAAGTCTCCTCCTCAACAGAGGCCGGCCATTCCCCACGATGAGCACCCCTACTTCTCCTCCAGGTTTCGAGGGGTGCTGAGCTGGAGCAGCTCGCCCTCCTCCCAGTCTTCTTCTGAGTACCAGTCCTACTCCCCGTACCAGTCGTGCCATTCATGCCTGCACGACCAGGAAAATGGAATCCAGCAGAGCACGTGTGCCCTCTATACCCACGTGCAGACTGTGCGGGGTGTGGCTGTTGCCTGGGAAACGGAGGCTGGCTTTGAGTCGGTCAGCGCGAAGCCTCGAATTCATGAAGCTGAATTCATCAAGAGGCAGCGAAGGAAAGGATCCTCCTTTGAGACAGCTTCTAACACCGACCTGCGCTGGGACTTGGAAGCCATCAAGAACTGCTGCCCCGAGTCGGATGACTGTGAGCTCCTGGGACCACTGGACTGCTGCCTGCAGGAACTGCGGGACCCCCCTGAGTGGCTAGTGACCACGAACTTTGGGCTGCGCTGTGTGGCCTGCTGTCGAGTTTTCCCCACCCTGGAAGCGCTGCTAGAACATGCCCAGTATGGCATCAGAGAGGGCTTCAGCTGCCAGATTTTTTTTGAGGAGATGCTAGAGAGAAGGCGAGTTCAGGATCAAGCTCATGACCAGGATCAAGCTCATGACCAGGATCCAGCTCATGACCAGCAAGAGGAGGAGGAACCGGACCCTTCAGGCAGCAGTAAATGGTCTAGGCCCCCCAAGTTGTGTCAGTTACAGCAGAAGAACCAGTGAGCCTAGGGTTGATGTGCCCGGCTCTGTCCTCACAACCAGCACCTTGATCCCCTCTTACCCCAGCAGAGTACCATAGTTACCTGGGCAGGGAAAGAGGCCCACAGGACTGAGGAGGGAAGGCAGTGAGTGAGGTGCAGAGCAGGGAGAATCGTCAGAGATGAGGGAGAAGGATCCCTTCCACGGGGCATACCATCTCAACCAGAGTTCATTCTAAAATCTGTCCACAGAGGAGGGCTTTGAGTTCTCCTGTGGTGGTCACCAGCTCTGGAATCCACAAGTGAGAGACTGCCTTTTATTTTTGCTGGGGATTGGAGAGTCCAGACTTGCTGGATGAAAGTAGCAAGACTCAAAAAGAAAGCCCATTGCACAGGAAGCATCCTTCCTATTTTATTCATTGCTAGCAGCCCTTCATAATGCCTAGTTCTATGTCATAATGTTAGTGAGATTAAACTTTAATAACTAAAAATTTGAGTCAAAGGCTAATTGAATCAGCCATCCTATGAGGTTATGCCCATATGATACTGTTGTTTCTGTAGGTCACAAAAGCAGCTTCCGAGGGGTGACTATGGGTGCTGGATAATTCCTTCTGACCTAGGAGTTTGCATACGTTAATCAAGGTTTAAAATATTGATACAAAATTCATCCCTTTATCTCTGTCCAGTATGAGGGAGGCTATACTATTCAATAAAATACACTGAGGTCCTGTGTGTGAAAGAGAGAGAGAGAGAGAGAGAAGGGGATTACAAGACAAGGGATAAATCACACAAGGCATGTTGGGAGATCCCAGAGGGCTCTTACACAAGCTGCCTAAAATGGATCGTGCTCACACTTGAAGTGTAGGTAGAATTAGAACAAGGTTTCTCAACTTTGACACTACTGAGATTTTGAGCTGAATGATTACTTTTTCGTGATAGACTATAGGATATTCAGATACCTTTGGACTCTACCCATTAGATTAACAGTAGGATCTTTCTCTCCACTAGGGAGGGGAACGATTCACAAAATCACCTTGGTTAAAAATCAATGACTTGGACAAAAGAGAGGCTCTCAGAAGAGGGAGTGTCTGAGGAACTGGCAGCCACTTGATCTGGCTGGAGTGATGGAGACCTTTATTCCCTTCTACACTAACACCACCTCTGTGATAACCCTGGGGCGACTTGGTGGAAAAATGGTTACATGTTGGACTGCAATCAGTATGGTCCACAGTTAAAAATCACTAGCAGCTCTGCAGGAGAAACACTGGGATTTCCACTCTTGTAAACAGATACAGCCTCAGAAATCCACAGAGGGTCACTATGAGTCAGCATTGACTCCATGGAGTTGAAATTGGTTTGATGTGGTAGCCCTAGGAGGTCAGGTGGTGTAGTGATTACATGTTGGGCTGCGACTTTCCACTCCTGCAAACAGTTAAAGCCTTGGAAACCTACAAGGGGGTCATTATGAGTAACCTAGGAGCCCTAGTGATGCAGGGAATTTTTAGTTGGACTGCTAATCATAGAGTCAGCAGTTTGAAACAACCAGCTGCTCTGAGGGGGAAAAATGAGGTTTTCTGTTCTCAAAGACTTACTGCCTTAGAAACCCTATATAGGGCTGCTAGAGGCCAGAATTGGGCTTGGGTTTTGGGTTTGTGTCAGTCAGTGTACTAAACATGGGGGATAAAAAATTAGCAAAATAAACCTTGCTATTATTATGTGGAGCTTGTGGCTAGTGGGTGAAAATACAAGTTGCCATTGACTTGATTCCTACTGATAATGCCCAAAAGATAACCCAGGCCATATATCTTTATGGAAGCAGACTTCTTCATCTTTCTCCCATAGAGTGGCTGGTGGGTTTGAAATGCCTACCTTTCAGTTAATAGCCAAGCACTTAACCACTTTACCACCGGGTCTTCTGGGTGAAAATAGACTATATATGAGTATATGTAAATATATGAATATATAGGAGAGGGCTTGAATATGAGAGAGCTTGAAAAAATCACGGTGATATGAGAGGACTTTAAAATAAGACGGCCCACCTAGAATCAGCCTCTTAGCTCCTTCTAGAACTTCTGTTTGCCTCCACTACTGCCTCCACATGTGGCCCCCACCATGTCATCCATTAGGCTAATTCAGAAGTCCTATAAGGTGCCCTCCTCTGGCCCATAGACCTTTAGCAGCCACTCCTATACCAGTATGCCTGGCACCCAAAATTGCTCATTGTTCTCCCAGGTGGGCAAAAGCAGCAGCAGCTTCTGGAGTAGCCTGGGAACTGGCATGGGTTTGATCTGGGACTTCAGCTGGGCAGGAGGGGTGAGGGGTGGGCATCACAGACATCATGCTGAACCAGAGCTTGCTGAGCCCCCTTAAGCTTTATATGGACATCCAATATCCAGGCCATGCACCCCCAGGAGAAAGAGCAGATCAAGGACCTCGACAAAGTGTTTCTCTTTCATTGACAAGGCACAGGATTTGGCACAGCAGGGCAAGATGCTGGAGGTCAAGTCCAACAGAAGACATCTCATAGCAACATGGACAACATGCTGAAGAGCTCCCTCAAAAACCATGGGCAGCAGCTGGATAAGTTGGGCCAAGAGAAACTGACATTGGAGGTAGAGCATACGTAAGCTAGTGGAGGACATCAAGAACAATTGCAAAGAAGAGATCAATAACTGAACAGATGAACTGGAGTTTCACCTGGAAGGGCACACAGGAAACTCCTCAGGAAACTGCATGGAGAGGAAGGAGCTCTGTGAGCTGCAGGCCCGGATCTCTGACACATCTTGGTGCTGCCCATGGACAATTGGCCATTCCCTGGGTATGGATGGTATCATTGCTGATGTCAAAGCCAAGTACAAGGAGGCTGACAACCACAGATGAGCTAAGGCAGAGAGAGTATACCAGATCAAGTATGAAAGAGCTGCAGACACTAGCTGGGAAGCATGGGATGAGATGCATTGAAGACTGAGACCACTGAGATGCACCAGAGCATCAGGTGAATCTAGCCTGAGATGGAGGGGCTCTAAAGCCAGAAGGCCTTTTTTGGAGGCCGCCTTTGCTGACATTGAGCACTGTGGAGAGCTAGCCAATAAGGACATCAATAACAAGCTGATTGAGCTGGAGGCTGCCCCTTGGTTGAGCCAAGCAGGACATGTATCAGGAACTGAGGAGCATCAAGCTGGTGATCGAGATGGCCACTTGCTGCTGGAGGGCGAGGAGAGTCACTGCATCTGGGATGCAGAACTTGAGCATCCACATGAACACCATCAATAGCTACTCTGGTGGACTGACCTCAGGCTACAAGGACTTCACAATCATTGGCTTCCCTTGTGGCCTGAGCTCCTGACAGTCTAGTTTCCACTCTAGTGGAGGCTCCAGTTCCTTCACCTATACCGGCTCCACCAAGGCTGTGGTGGTGGAAGATGAGGGAGTCATGTGATGAGAAGCTGGTATCTGAGTCTTATGATGTCCTGCCCAAGTGATGGTCTCTGTGACCCACTCCCAGCCTTCAAAATCCTAGAAACATTTGAGGGAAAGGAACTGTGCAGGGGTTCAAAGGGAATAGGAGACCTGAGGTTTGGCCCAGACTTAAGCCCACCTTGGGGTATTTACAGTACCTACTTTGCCCATGTCCCCACTCCCCAAATATGAGAGAGCTTCAAAACTTCATGAAAAATGAAATTAAAAATAGAATTTTTCTATGAATTTTTCGAAGTCGAGTTGATTCTGAGTGTCCACACATAGGATTTCTGAGATGATAAACCTGAAATGTTTGAAATGTTGACCTTGTAGCTAGCAGTCCAAAAATCAAACAGATTGTCACCAAAAAGACAATTCACTGCCCTTGAGTCAATTTCAACTCCCAGTGACCCTGTACCCCAAACTCCAAACTCACTGCCATCCAGTCGATGCTGACTCACACATGACCTTGTAGGACTGGGTAGAACTATCCCGGGGGTTTCTGAGAGTGTAAATCTTTATGGCATTAGAAAACCTCATCTTTCTCCCAAGGTGGTTTCGAACTGCTGGCTTTGCAGTTAGCAGTGCAAGCAGTTCAATATATAACCGCACTACACTTCCAGGTTTCCATATTTATATTCATATTCTGTACTAATATTTAATACATGCATATATATAGTTGGAATGTTCAAATTTAAAAGAACTGAAATTCACATAGAAAATATTAAATAAAATTGTGAAAATACAAATGCTGTTTCATGACTTGCAGAGTCCTGGATAATCACAGCCTTTGTTAACTCTTTACCATCTTTTAGTGTTCCCTGTTTCCATTATTATGGACAGGTCCCAATGGCTTTCCTTCTTTCTTTAAATCCTCATAAGTCTTTTTACTCAAAACCTTTGTACCTGCGCTCTCCTTTGTGAAACTCAAACCTTCTCTCTGTCAGTCTTCTGCTCTCTATTTATAGCGGAGGTTTCAGCATAAATGTCATTTTTTCAAAGACCATGTTGCCTTAGCACACACCTCATTTTAAGTGCAACTACTTTTATGAACATAAATCACATAAACAGATTAATGTTTTTGAAAATTCACTCTGGTTGTGATGTAGACTATGGGATTGTGGCAAAACAACAAATCAAGCAGTGGAGGTTAGTTCTGTGAGAGAAAATGGTGGCATGGATAAGAGAGGTGCCAAGTCAAGGAAAAAAGTAATGCATTTAAGATATTAAAAAATAGAATGAAAGGGACTTAGTGATGGGTGGAAGGTGAGTAGAATAAGGAGTTTGTCAAGGTGTACTCCTAAGAGCCTAGGAGGAATACATGGGTGGGTGCCTGTGGATTATCTACATTAACGAACACTGAGGGAAGATCAGGTGTGCGTGGGTTTGTATGTGTATGCTCAGACATACATTCTGGAGTGTGGGTAATAGAGGTCACTTGGGACATTGTTCACTTTAAGTGCTAAGGGCCTGTCCAAGTAAAGATATCAAGTTGAAATTGGTTTATGATTGTGAACTCAGAAGACCCAGACTGAATTTGAAATATAAATTAGGATAATAGTGACACATGGATGGGGCCATCTTGAAAGGCATGATAGTGACCTAGAGAGATGATAGCTGAAAT